AAAGTTTTTCGTACGACAAATGAATATGTTACATTGTTTCCTTTTTAATCACAAAAATATTCAGCAAGCTGATACATAATGAAGCTCATAAGCACCCTTCACTTCTTTCTTTTTAGGGTTGAATGCGACTATTGTTTCGAAACAAAGGAAAAGTGAGAACCACGTGAGATATTTCTGAGCCCTCCTGCAGGCAGAGACGGACGGCATCATCAGCCGGGATCCTCGGGACGGCAGATGACGAACTGTGAGCAGGAGGCAGGACTCACCCTGCAGCACAGGGTTCTTTGGCCCGGTGCTCGGCCTTCTCCTTCCTCCTCTTCTTAGCCATCGACGCGGTCGCCCTCAGTGGGCGGAGTCGTCTTACGTACTCCCACATTGCACGTCATTCAGCTGACGCTTTCATCCAAAGCAATTCATAATAAGTGCATTTAACCACGAGGGTGCAGACCCAGAACAACAAGTATAATTTCTTCAAGAGAGCCAAACCACTGAGTGCTAAAGGTAAGTGGCATCAAGTGCCACCTAGACAAGGAATAGTGGGAGGAGGTGTGCTTTTAGTTACCCACTTTCTGCCGTCCCGACGTCGCCGGGAGCTCGTTCCACCATTTAGCTCCTGTAACTGTCCGTTTACAGCTCAGAACTGTGCAAACTTTGCACCTCTGTGTTCCCGTCACAGTCGGAAGAAAAAGAGTTGAAGTAATTGGTTGTCGGATGTGTTCAGCTCCCGAGGAAGGAAATCATTGTCGTCATGACAAGCGTGTCTGTGATGGACTGTGGCGCCCTTTTAAGGACTTGAGACATTCATAATGGGCCTAAAGTGAGGGAGCGGAGGGTCTTTGTGTAGGTGAAGTATTAATAAAAGCCTGCTTCTGGATAGAGGTGTCAGCGTTAGAACAAACGTTTTTCTTGACATCAATTTAAGGATAATTTAAATTATTCGTCTTTCTTAAACTGTGAGACAAAGGGACTAATGTTAAAAGCAACTTCTTCAAATGGTCCTGATGAGGTTGATAAAAGGAGCTGATAATAATGGGGAAGAAGTTTAAAGCTCATCGAATCTCATTTTGCGCCTTAAGTCCAAAAATCCACTTTGCTCTCAATAAGAGAAAATGAAACGTAAGTGACCGATGAATCGATCTGCTTGTTGGTCGACATGTTTGTGCTTTCAAATGCTAAACAAGTCAGTGGAGCCGTGAGTTTTTTTTGTCAAACTGTATATTGCGTTTTCCATTCTGTTGACAAACATCTATCAAATACATATTCGTGCTAAATATTCTCAGGATAGTTAATATTAGTGAGAGGTTGAGATGAAATCCTTTCTGTGTATCGTAAGCTCCACTGTGCTGCCATTAGCTGTTTGGTCTTTTGCCAAATCACCTTCCTAATGATGATGGGGGGGGCAGAATGACCTCAATCCAGCTGGTTTGTGGAGATATTAGTGAATTAAAGCGGATGTTGGCCTGTCTGGACACACACACACACACACACACACTTTTGCAATGCTATAATTTTTTGTTCCTTCATTGGAGGCATTCATTGTCTGATTCATTTCCTTTTCAACCCCATTTTATTTAAGGTAAAGGTGGCTGTAATTTACGGTTTCCGTCCTTGAGGGGACACTTGGCCCTCATAAGTGTGGAAACACACACACACACAGCTGTGCTATAGATGATGAAAAGGAGATAATGGACCCGGATGCTCAGTGACAGCGGCTTTGTACTGAGCCGTCAGGCGGCCACGACAGGCGAAATGTTCCTCCTCTCAGTCAGTCCAGTGAGGTCCAGCGCTTAAAGCTCCAAGCTGGAGATAAATCCTTGTTAACATGCAATGGGGGTTGTTCTTTTAGCGTAGAGTGTTTTTTTTTTTTATTGCTTTCATAAATATTCCTTTTTGCTTCGATAAATCAGCTGCAGCTGTAGTTTTATGCTGAAAGATGAATAGAAAGTCTGCAGCAGAAAGACGTCTTTTTTTTGTTGGCAGAGAGAGAAAGAGGAGACTCTTGTCTAAAGTCCAGACCACCGTCGTGTATCTATTTCCGGAGCGTGAGTGGTTTGCGTTTTTTTTGTAATCTTGCAATCACAAAAAAGACCACAAGCCAAATAAAAGCACCGACGAAACTGTAAGAATCGTCTGTGAGAAGTCGCTCTGTTGGTGTGTTCGGGGCGTAAATGTCGCTGCTACGCCGTCGTCGGCGTTTGTCTGACAAACGTTAACCTTTCTGAGTTCAGTGCAGAGGTCTTATCTGCATCACGGGAGACGATTTGAAGTAAATCTGTGATTGGCCCCCCCGTGACATCGCTAAAGGCTCAGCGTTGCCTGCAGCCCCCCCGTTACCTGGAAAGTACGCGGGGCGTCTACGTTCCTAACGTGGCCCCCCCCGGCTGTGCTGAGGGAACAAGACCACGGGGGCCCCTTTCGTGATCCGTGGGAGAGACGGCAGCCTCTGTAAATGCCCCCCCAGCAGAACGGTGCGTGAGAAAAGGTTAAGCTGGCACGACCTTGAGACGAGCAGCGAAACCGCTGCACGCTCGCTGAGGCGCCGCGGCGGCCTTTTCTGCTCCTGTGGTTTTGGGGCGTTCGGGGGCTCGAGAACAAGGAGGAAAAATGAGTCTAGAAAACCAGGCGTTGTTCTCGGAAAGATGACGGGCTGGTTTGGCAACGTGGTCTCCAACTAGATCGGTATTTTATATTGTTAAATTTGTAAGAAGAAGGGCTCGATGGTGATTTTAATAAAATGGTGTTAATCCAACAAATCTTGTGTTGTACGTTTTCATTGTTTGTTTGATAAAACATCAGAAAAAAAAAAAAAAGTCCAGTGCTTGTTATTTTACAGTTGACACTGTAGGGACACTTTTATCAGTACCAGTCACATGTTTGAATACCCGTCCTCTTTGGATTAAATTAGAAAATGTGTTACAACTTTTTACTGTAAATCCCAGTAAAAATTGTTCCTTTGCTCATTATCTCTGTGGGGTGTATGATATCTTTACATTAATCACAGAAATCTGTGTATGAAGACGCGGCGAGTTTATTTGTAGGCAACATTGAAAAGGGTTTAAATACAGCCTCAATTATTACTGTCAGTCACCAATTAATGCAGAGGTTATAAATCTGTCTGGGTCTGTTTCCGCCACTTGTTGCTTTTTCCGTCTCAGGCTGTACATTCACTTCTGTGTGTGTGTGTGTGTTTGTGTGAGTAATACCATTACCGCCGCTCTGATTCCCCTGATTTGATCAACGGTAGCTCCTGGGTTTCATATTCCCGGCTCTAATGGCACCGAGCATCAAAGACCGCTAAAGAAAACACTGGACGTTCCTTGTTTGTCACACATCCTGTCTGAAGTTAATTCACTTTGCCTGATCCACTCACTCACACACACACACACACACACACACACACACACACACACACACAGAGTGCTCTGTCTGGAAGCCTCACCGTGATTCAGAGGAAACTTGCGTTTTAACGCATTTCGTGTTGAAAAGTTATAAAGTAATACTTATTCTCTATTTACACTAAATCATCCCCAGTGGAAATATTTGCTTATATTTGGATTGGAATATACTTCTTATTATCATAATCGCCGTGCAGCATGTTTCTGTATTTAGGTGGAAATGCACTCGCATGTTTGGGGAAAGATTGCAACATCGACATGTTGTGGTTGTGGTGACCACATTTGTTCTTTATTTTGTAACTCCCCCCCCCCCCCCCCCACGCTCTGTGAATGTGTATGTATGTGTCTGATCGCGTGGAGCGTTTATTATTCCATCAGCTCCTTCACTGAACTTGGCTCTCATAAGCCTGAGAAAGGTGGCCCACTTACTGGCTGCAGTTCAGCACAGTGAACCTTTTATTTCCCTTTTAGAAAATAAGGCAATGAAAACTTTACAGCTAAGCAATTCATTTTTGAAAGCGCACAGTAAATATAACGTGAGCGAAACAATTAGGCTTGCAGTCGGTTCGAAAGACTGAAAAGCATGTTCATGACCCCTCAATCGTCATTTTACTCATCACCCAGGCTCCTTTTTTTACCCAGCATGCCCTCCTTCAGTCTCCTTCAGCAATAGCACACATGTTTAAGACGTGCCGCATCGCTCGAACAGATCAGTGGGGAAAGTTGTGCGAGACGACAGAACAAACTGTCTCAACGTGCTTTGACAGTATGTGCATTCTGTGTAAGAGGTCACGTTGTTTAATGCATGAGCAGGTGTCTTTCATCTGTGTTTGTTGTCTTTTTTTGAGTCACTTCGCACACATGCACACACACACACACACACGATGGCGCTGCTATAGGAAGTGGTCGTGCGTCTGTGTGTTTCCTGTCCATGTCTTTAGCAGTGCGCCGTGGAGCATTTCGTCGGCTGCAGACATGACAGGAAATACTCCTCAGCATCGGTGAGTTAGAAGCTCGTTGGACGAATAACACGCGTGCTTCCTGTGACCTGGAAGGTGTCGTTTGTCTGGGCTGGTTTTTCCAGCAGAGAGTCGCACACTTAGTTTTGTTTGAGTGGTTTGAAGAGACTCAATCTCTGCAGATTTTCTACCTATTTACTCTATTTAACGGTATTCATCGTGATGTCCATGAACTGTAAGGTTGCATCATGCTGCTTTCTTGGTCGATTTAAAAAACTGGCCGCAGAAACAAGGCACGGCAAATCCTCGCTTCAGCTCACTGCCGTGGTAGTTTTTAATCAGTTTCTCATCAATAACTGTACTTGCAGCTTCCAGGAAGTGGTTAACCTGGATGGCTCACACCGCTCGAATGAGTCGGCAACCCATGCTCGTCCTTTTCTGTCCCATTTCGCATCAGTTATTGAGGTAAACATGGAGGAAGTAGCCTCTTCTCACGCAGGTTCCCTTTGAATCAGACCGATGCTCCCTTTTGAATGTTTGCCGCATCAAACTACCTCCACATCTTATTTGCTGATGTATACAGTACAAAGTAAAAGACGTTTCTGGCTCATCTTTACTAACAATCTCTCTCTCTCTCCTCACCCAGGACGTTTACCGCTGCCGAAGGATGACAATAATAATGCTAGCGATGACGACGATGGGAGGAGGCCACGGCCGAAGGGGCAGCCCTCGCTAGAACCCCCCCCCCCCCCCCACCCGGCTTCAACCCCTCGCCCCCACCATAACATCCTCTCCTGCCGTCCCCTCCCCTCCCGCGACATGGCCAACCACCTGGAGCTGATCCAGGAGCTGCAGCAGCTGGACAAAGTGCCCAGCCTGGAGAGGCTACGGGCGGCCCAGAAGCGGCGTACCCAGCAGCTGAAGCGATGGGCCGTGTACGAGAAGGAGATGCAGAGCAGGAGGCGGAAGGCCGACAAGAAGGGACGCGGCGGCGGCGGCAACCTGCAGCCCGCGGGGCCCAAGAGGCACGTGTCGTTCGCCGCCAGCGTGGCTCTTCTGGAGGCGTCGGCCAGGAACGACCCGGATGAAGGTAGGGGCCAGTTTGGAAGTTGGAAGTAGAGTTGTTCTCATCGTAACGAGGCAACGCGCTGGAGATATGTGCCGGGGTTTTGTGTCAAAGCTCAGAGTCGAACCCAGCGCAAAGCTCAGTGAGGCCACGTTTTAATAATTACTCTAATTTCAGCCTCACCTTGATTCTTCGGCCGCATATCAAAACGCCAAGGTCAGGGAAAAAGGACTCGGTGGGCCTTGCCCCCCTTAAACTGCCAGTGGAAGCAGCTGAATTTGTTCTGCTAGGAGACTGTTTCTCATTTCGAAATAATAGAGTTGTCACAGTGAGATGAAACTCTGCCAGTCTTTTTAATTAAAATTTCTACGGATGGTGCCCCCCCCCTCCCCCTGTTTGGAGATAATAATTGTTTTCCCCCCAGTACAAACGGTCCCACGATGCTGTGGCAGTGCTAACAGTGAGCCAGCGATGCAGGAATGATAGCAGGATCCTTATCACTTCCATACGACACCTAATTTAACTTCGCTTTAACTTTAAAATTAGATTGGGATTTTCTTTTTTCATATCATATTCCGCCCGCGGATGTGCTACTGTACATTCTGTTGGTGCAAGCTGTCGTTGCAGATATGGGGAAAATCAGCCATAAGGCTGATGTACAATGATTCCCAGGGAGCAGACGCTGCACCGCGTATACACACACACACACACACACACACACACACACACACACACACACACACACACACATTCAGAGGCTCGCTTGGGATTTTTTTTGTCTTGTGTAACCTAAATAAAGATCTGATGAAACCAGCAGGAGAGAAAAGGATATCACCTTTTTCGAGGGGGATGGAGGCTGTTTCTTTGTTTCTATTCTTGCTCAATCGGCTGCCGCCTCATTAGTGGCGGTGGTGGTGGTGTGTGAGAGATTTTGGAAAGGGTTGGAATAGCATTGAAAGGGGTTTTCGTCTTACGTTGCTGTGCAGAGTTTTGTTCTCAGAAAGTCTGCTGAGCCAATTAGACCTTGAACCAGGATGTTGTTGATGTTTGAATAAACCACCTCCGAGGTGTCCAAAGACCTGCAAACACTTGCAGATTTAATGTCAGTTTCAGGAATCATCATAAATACATTCCATGTGCTCACGTTTATGTGTAGTCGACACTTTGTACCCGCTTTATATTTTAGCATTACCATGACTTCTTATGACATCACACATTGTATTTCAGTATGTGGCTAACATCAATTTCACTCCATTATCAGTCACACGACTTTTAAAGAGGCCGCCGGTTGCTGACTCTCATACCTGTGAAGCATTTGATGTGATGTCCACGCGTGACGTGTAAATCCGTCTGTGTGTAGCGGTGGCCGACCTCCCTGCTTCGGTTGGAGCCCACCGTGCTGCTTAAGGAGGGTGGGTGTGGGTGTGGGGGGGGAGGGCATGACAGCGCCGTGACTGCACGCTGCTCACAGGCTCCTCTACAACGGTATTGTGCCACATGTGTTGTTGGTTCTCTTGTGCAGCCAAGAGAAAGTAGAGAAGGAAATTGAGTCGTGGCATCTTAGAAATACCGGACGTCGGCACTGACATTTACGCAAAGATTGATTTTTATAAATTAAACACATCATTTAGACCCTTCATTTGCTAGAGCTGCCACCAGCGAAGCCACTACGAGCAGGTTTGCAGGTTGTCGATGTGCTTTAGGAGTAAAAGGAGCCAACTGGCCCCTCTTCTTCAAGCAAGAGAAAGGTTGATGGGGAGGAGTAAAGAAAACAGCGGCGAGGGAGCCTGAGATTGACTTTGACCCGAGGTCGACTCGGACACAATAAGATGAGAGGTCGGATTGGCAGGAATGACCTCTGCTCACTCCCAGCTCCGTCGAGATGTTTCCTTTTGATTCTCTCTCTGCTCTCTCCCCTGCTTGGGGTCACTGCGCCGACTGGAGGGCGTGTGCACCGAGAAGTGTGTGTGTGTGTGTGTGTGTGTGTGTGTGTGTGTTTATTGGAAGGAGCGTTTACTGTTCTGGTATTTTGAAGGCTCTGCTGTGTACATGCTTGTTTCTAAGTGCGCGCTTTTGTTTTTGTGTGTGTGCGTGTGTGTGGGTGTTGTGTTGCCTCCCTGAACTACAACGTCTCTGTAATTATAACGTCATAGCTTGAGGCTGCAGCATCAGCCCTCCCTCCCCCAGGAGACGCAGTTACGTAGCAGAGGAGCCGAGGACGCAATGTGTGTACTCGGGCTGAAGATGTGTTGTGGGGGTTTCAGTGAGTGAGGGGCTCCGTGTTTCTGCCTGCGAGCTGGTCGGATGCTGGCTGGAGACGCACTGGGGGAGGCTTTGAGCACCCTCGCTGTGACGAGGGTTGATGGAGCACCTCCATGTCTCTCTCTGACTATTGAGACCGATGGATTTTCTTCTGTCTAGAGAATCACTATCCTGGAGAGAAGCACACACACACACACACACACAGTGTGGACTGAGCTTACATTTCTTCTTTAACACTGCTGTGCTATTTGAGGACATAACTCCTTCAGTGACATCTGAGTGATTTGATTAAGTTCTACAATCAACAGTTGAGTTCATATTTATGGCAACTGGCATTGATTGATGAGCATGAACTAATATCCAGATTGACCGGCGATGCTGCTCGGTATTAATAATTAAAGCGATGCATTAGGTGAGGTAAATGTACGCACGTGGTGATGATACCCGACTGACTGTGGTCAAGTGGGTGAAAGTAACACGGTGACAACATCGTTCAGAAATTGGCTTTTTCAAAATGTCCTTGAGTAAAACAGCCCGGCCTCTGCTGCTGTGGATCGATCGCACACACACGGGGGCCTCGACAGCTTCACACCGCCTGGTTTTTAATGTTCTAATCGATTTGTACAACTTGTGTGCTTCTCTCTTCATTTTGATCTTTTCAGAATCATTACATTTTCTATCTTGATTGCTTAGAATTCACACTTGTATTTCGTGTACAAAACAGCAAACCCGCGTGAGCTAAGAGACTTGAATTTATTACTTTTTATGTTGAACATTGTCAACTTCATTTTGGTATTTGATGGTACAGCGTCCTTCATCAGGCATTTAGTTTAGCAATAATTTATTACTCAGCCACCTGCCGATCGGCTGAACTTTTGGAGTTTCTAGTTTTACATTTTTTGGCTGCTGCTGTGAGCTGACATTTCTTATCAGCACACTATTCAGTCTTATTATGAGTTCAACCTAAATGTCTAAAATTATTATTTATTAAAAGTATGAAATGACACGTCACCTGAAACACTGACTGCTGCACAGAACTGCGCCTCTATTCTTTAATAAAATCGTTTATGATTGAGATCTTTACGATTTTAAGTGTGATAATATATATATATATATATATAGGTGTTTTTTAATCTCTTTAATCCCTGAACTCAGTTATTCTACACTTTTTTAGCCTTATAGTTTACTCTTGGCTCTCCACCTTTTTCACAACTAGATTTAAGTATCTCCAGCAGCAACTATCTCCTCGTGGAAAGAGAGTTCTCGAATTGTTTTATTCTCCTTTTTCCGCTTTTTTTGTGAGGTCTCGGAGGAGCTTTTGACTTCTCCTGCTGTCTTATTAGAAATGTTAGGCCTTCCCCTTGGAGGCCGTATGCAGATCGACTGCTCCCGGGCGTATGGCAGCAACACAGTGGCATTAAAGAGGCACACAAGAGCAAAGGGGAAAGACGACGAGTGACACACGCACAAAAAAAAAGACACAAATCTACAAAAGTATTTGCATAAGAATATACTTAAATGAAAAGTGCTTCTCATCCAGAATCAGGTCGTTCAGAATAATGTATATTATATTATAGTAATATGTTCACGGTATTCATGTTTGAGGTAGGTACCAGTGGAGCTTATTTTGAATGATTATTGATTGCGGCATTAAGTATCTTTTCAGAGTTGTTCAGTGTTTAGTTTTTTAATCATCTGGACACACGCAGAGATGCGATCAACTCTGTTGTGCACAAGTTCTTTTGAAGAAGCCACTTATTTATTCCCGATTTCAAGCATGAGGTGTTTTCGCTCACCAATAACCAGCGCTCTGTAAGAGGAGGTTGTTTACTCGCACGCTTGGCTAGGCTGATGTGACCTCTGACCTTTGACAACTGTAGTGTAAGCTCTCCTGTCGCTCCATCGCATCTGTGCAGTAACTCGATGCAACAACAACAATTTGCATGTAAAACTTATCTGGCGCTGAAACAATTAGTTGATTATTCAGTTTTCGTGACCTCATCATGTAAGTTATTTCTCCAGCTAAAATGTCAAAGATTGAATGCATTTTGTCATATAGGCTTACTGTTTTTTATATTTATTTGTGCCTTTAGTACCGTTTTACATATACAAATAAAATGCATGATAATATACATAATGTGCATATAACCACTGACGGACGGATTTTGCTGATGAAGTTTAATAGTTGATAGTTTGCTGTGAGCTCAGATGGGCTCTGAGATACGAGACTGAAGATGACTGCAACCGTTTTTTTTTTTACCACCGCTGCGTCTTTCCTGGTGACAAAATTAAGCTGCTTCACTCGGGGCTAAATCATCACATTTTCGCTTAGACAGTTGATTACTTAAGTGGGATCTGAAGGACCATGACGGGGTCCAGAACCACACATAAAATGTGTCCTTGGTGGGCGGCGTCTATTGAATCATGCGGTGACAAGGAGGGCTGGTTTCTAAAGGCGCCGCTGCTAGTATTGATATTCGTGTGTCAATTCTTCCCTCTCTTTGTGATCAGGGCTGTTTTCAGGCACCCATTCCGGTCAACAGCACTCCCTTTCTCTCCTCTCGCCCCATTGCGGCTTTGCTGTCTCCTCGCCGCCTCAGCAGACGGGACCGACTCTCAAATAATCATTTGGAATAAAAATGTTTTTTTTAAAAGAGCGATTGGCTGGACGAAGTATGAACAAGTGTAAATGTTGGAGATGAGTTCGAGGTTGCTGTAGTCGGTGGTCGGAGCGGCTGCACTTGTCTGTGGAGTTGTCAGTT